TCTCAGGACCAATGGAAGCTGCCTGGATTACAAAGAACTATGGTGACGATATGCACCTACAATGCACGTACACTTACATTCGAATCCTCGATAGAAGACATGCTCGTGCAAGCAAAAAGGATAAAGTACGACATCATCGGCCTGGCTGAGACGAGACGACGCCATTCATTCAACGCTATCTATGACACTGGAGAAGAACTGTTTCTCGGAACATGTGACATCGGCGTTGTCGTCAACACGAGTTTGTCCATGAACATCGATTCATTCGAACAACTTACAACCCGAATCGGACGTTTACGATTAAAAAGACTTGGATCAATTCCGGCTTTGACAGTCTTCGTCGTTTACGCACCGACATCAAACTATGACGAAGAAGAAGTCGAAGCGTTCTATATGGACTTGGAGAAGTTCTACAGACAAGACCACACATTCTTCAAGGTCATCATTGGAGATTTCAACGCCAAGATTGGACCAAGAAGAACGTTACATTGGGACCTACGGATTAGAATGGAACGAACAGGGTGAACGCCTATCTGAGTTTATCATGGCGACCAAAACAATCCATGGTGAGTCGCAATTCCAGAAACCCCACCCTCAGCGCTGGATGTGGGAGTCTCCAAGTGGAGAGTACCATAACGAAATAGACCACATCATAGTAAATAGGAGGTTTTGCCTAACCGATGTCGCTGTTGTCCCAAAATTCTACACGTGATCAGACCATCGTCTCCTTCGTTCAAGATTCTATTTCTCGCGGAAAAGAGAAAAAGTCTCCGCTAAATTCCAAAACCGAAGTCCTAGAACCACCGCAAACTGGGACTTATTCAATTCATTAGTCGGCTGTTGGGAAGATGCCGTTGTCGATAACATCGAGGAAGAATATGATCGGCTCATTCAACACCTTCACGTTAGGGCTATGAAAGCTGAGAGTTCGAAAGTCATCAAGAGACGTTTGTCTCCAGAAACACTCGAGCTGATACACCATCGTGGAATCGCATGAGCTGCAGGCAACCGCGAACTAACGTCCGAAGTTGCAAAACAATGCAGAAAGGCCATAAAAAAAGATCTTAGAGAGAGAAGAGCAGCAGTAATGGTCAAAACTGCAGAGGCTGAGAAAAGCATTCGCAAAGCCCACCGAAGCATCGCCAATTACAAGAGCAAAATGATTGCACTCCGGCGCCCAGACGGAACAGTTACAGAGTGCAGAAAGGCAATGGAGAAAATCATTCACGAATACTACTCGGATCTTTTTGATACCCACGTTCACCTTCCGTTATATGAAATAAAGGAGGATGGATATGTTGTACCACCGGTTCTCACTCCCGAAATCCGAGGTGCCATTTCGTTGGTGAGAGATCGAACAGCACCAGATCCGGAGAGGATAAGACCAGAACACCTGAAGAACCTTACGCCAGTCTTCGTAAACACACTGGCTCGGGTCTTCACACGTTACCTGTCTGAATGCAAGGTCCCAACTCAGTGGAAGACCAGCAAGACCGTGTTATTGTTCAAGAAGGATGGCCTACACGATATCGGCAACTATCGCCCAATCTGCTTGCTGTCTGTCGTCTACAAACTTCTCGCTCGAGTCATCCTTGACAGAACACTAGACGAAGAAGAGGCATGTGAGCAAGCAGGGTTTCTAAAAGGATTTAGTAGGATTCACGCGGTAACAAGAATCGTTGAATTTCGCGAGAGTACAAAAGACCGCTCTTTCATCGATTTACGTAAGGCCTTTCATTCACTTGAGATAGAAGCAGTCCTGGAAGCCCTTGTTGGTCAAGGAGTCCCTACTCAGTACATAAAGATTCTTCGTGAGCTGTACAAAAATTTCACAACCAAGGTATCACCATTCTACAACGATATTAACATTGACGTGAAAAAAGAAGTTAGGCAAGGCGATACCATCTCGCCAAAATTATTTACCGCCGCACTCCAGAACGTTATGAGAACATTGGAATGGGATAATATGGGAGTGAAAATCGATGGTTGGCAGTTACTCTATCTTCGCTTTGCTGATAACATCGTTCTTATAATACCAAACAGCCAAGCGGAACGTATGCTTGACGACTTTGATAAAGCATGTGGAAAAATTGGTCTTCGATTAAATCTCACAAAAACGATGCTCATGAAGAACGGATTGGTATAGCATGCCCCATTCACGCTCAAGGGAACGAATATCTCCGAATGCTCTAGTTATATCTATCTAGGTCGGGAAATCAATGTGATGAACGACCTAGCTCCAGAGCTGAGCAGAAGGAAACGAGCGGCTTGCGGAGCTTTCAAGAGCATCGAAGAAGTAGTGAGGAGAACAAAGAACATTCGACTCCATGCCCACCTTTTCGACTCAACGGTACTTCCTGCCCTGACGTATGTGTCAGAAACCTGGCCGCTGCGGAGCAGGATGAAAGATCACTCAGCGTTATCGAACGTGCAGTCGAACGGACGATGCTAGGAGTATCCCGTTCCACACAAGGGATGGGATCCGAAGCTCCGACTTGCGTCAACGATCAAAAATCAAGGATGCCGTTCAGTACGCCAAGCAGTCGAAGATAAGGCTGGCCGGACATGTAATGCGTATGAATGACAACCGATGGACAAGAGTCGTTAGTGACTGGATTCCTCGGGATGTTTGCTCAAAAGCCTTTCCTTCTAAGATCTAAAAGCTGTTTTCGGTGGAAAACCGAGTGATGAACATGCCGTCACTTCTCATCAACAACTCTGCCCATTTTTCGCGTCTTTCTTAAGAATGAATAGTTTCAGTTAATGGAAAACTAGCAGGACTATATTTTAAAACCGAATTTCCTTTAACCTCTGTACGGCTTCACATGTATTTTTTTCTTTGATAATTCGATGGCTGGATTGGATAGTTTTTGCAAAATGGATTGTCCGGAAAAAACAGGTCGTAGTCACCGGACAATCATTATTATCAACAGTTATCGTTTTGTGTGAAAAAAGTCTTACTCTCCCACGTGACATGGCCCCTTACTTCAAACTGTTTTCTCACCTTGTTGCGTCTTACTCAGCACACGTGAGCAACACACCGAAGGTCCCGCTCCACTCACAACAGCACAGTGAGTACCTTTTGCATATATTTCGGTTCATTTGTATGTTAGACCTTCATTCATACTTTAGATGTCACCAAATTGTAGGACTATTATAGCATAAAATACATACAGGCTCTGAGGAAAGCGAAATCGCCGAAAAGTCACCTAACAACGACACCAACAACAATAAAAACAACAACCAGCAACAACAACAACATCGGCGACGACAACTCATAAGCGAAATATTGGCGGTACCTGCCAACACTTCTTTGCTACGCTTGTAGTCGGCTTACACGACTCCATTTATCGCCTTCAAACCACATGTTAAAATCGGACCCATATCGTCATTAGCTACTAAAGAACATATGCACGAAACAACTGCAAGTTAATTTTGATGTAGGATTACTTAGCGTAAGCAGCGAAGACTTCTATTCCAAAATTGTCGGAGCTTGCAACTACAGATTACGAAAACCCCAAAAAAACCTAACACTAACAATAAAGATAAGATAAAGCTCTCGGCATTCATCAATCTCTGAGGGATGCGCCTTCATTCGACCCCAGACAACTCTGGCACCAATCTGCCGAACCAGGAGGGATGGAAAGCTTGGTGGGTATGGAGTGCGGAGACTCACCTCGCGTGTGTGTTGAAGGGCGCCTCCAACCACTGCACCACACGCGCTCATACAATGGAAATAGGGCCGCAAAAATTCTGTTCCAAACCCCAAAGCCCATTTTACAGAGAAACCACTACACATTCTTTCATCTTACGTACGTTTGAGTATGAAGACAGGAACAGTTCCTAGAGCATACAATAGCACAGTCGACCTTTTGTGTGCGGTCAAACAACATTCACTTTGGCAACACATCTAGCCACGTAAAATGAGGGGATCATTAACAGTTCGGGAATCTTATATACAGCCATCCCGTCCAACAAAGGAGAACTAACTAATCTCTAATGTTCGTGTTCTATGACTGACTTAAACAAATTCTATCCATTATAGGTGACCTAAACTATGGTTGAAGTTTAAACAGCCGAGCAACCAGGATTACCATACACTCTTGTGCATAGATCACGCCCAAACCCTGATTCACATCAGAAAAATCCCTCTCAAGTACCATCTACTCATCCTAAGCACTGTCGAGTTAGTAGAAAGGGGTCGGCCAAGGTCCAAGCGCTAATTTAATCTATTTCACATAGATGTATACCTCTACCACTGTTCCAAATGAGCATTTTAGCCGATTGCTACAGCACCTGCACCACAAAATAGAAAACACACTGCTCTTCTACTGACTTGTTATCATCTCGATAAGAAAAGGCGGCAGACGTGGTGACACCGCTTAGCCGAAGTATTTTACCCACCTATTGCAGAGGACGACGAATCGACTTAATACGGAAGAAAAGGACGTAAGCACCGATGACAAACTCCTATAAGGCGTTTATTTTTCTGAGGGCATCATTATCTTTTAGAGGAACTGTTGACGCTCAAAGTGCTCAATGATGCGGAAAAAAGGTTACGACTGTAAATAAGTCGGGAAACAGCCTAATTAGTAAACAGCTCATTACGTGCATCGCCTACAATTAAAAAATATTTGTAATATCGTTTTCAGCACTACTTTTAACAAAATAACCAGTTCATAAACTGGACTTCTTTTCAGTGCTACTTAATAAATTAACCAGCTTACAATCACAATTTTTTAACCCCTTTTTATATGGTGGTACGACAAGACTAAAATCCAGAGATAAGACAGCCAATTACTTCTGTCTTTGAAATCTTTATTTCCATAGAAATAATTACGAAAATAAATAATACCCGTAAACAATGGACACAGTAGCAGTACACAAAGATTTACAATGGTTAGCAAACATGCAATTCAGTACTTTCAAATTCACCTGACGATGAACAAATTGCACATCACCGAATAACTGGAACCATATGTGGATTGATGGCAAGTGCATTAAGCCTTCACCCGATGTGGTTGCGGTTGCTCGACCATTGGGCGCTGAGGCATCGGACGGTAGTGCGGATGCCCGGGCGGAGGTTGCGGCGCCGGCGGCCGCGTCAGCGACGTCGTGCTCACTCGGTACAACGGATGTGGCTCCAGCTCCTGCCTTATCAGCGCTATCAACACAAGATCTGTGTTGTAAACGGCTAAAACGGCTACATCAGAACAAAAATAAAACTTCAAACGGTGCGCTAAGTATGCTCTTCAGAGTGCACCTTAACGCATGCTACCAGCTGTACCTGAACCTTTGCTGAACCATACAGGATTTCGCAAAAGAATGCATGCGAATTTTTTCTTTGCAACTATGAATTAAATCTTGGCATAAGGTATATGCAATCAAAAACTCAATAAAACAATCAATGTCAAAATTTTACTTACAGCTTATTTTTTTCTTTATGGCAGGGTGTTATGCGAAATACAACAGTAAGAATGCTGAGCTTTGAGCAAAACTCAGAGTCTCAACCTTTTTATTTACTGCCTATTCTTTCTAACGGCAGGGTATTTTGCGAAATATAACTATTGTAATGCTGAGATATTTGCAAAACTCCGGACCGCAGGTGTCTGCAGTGGGGAACGAACTCCTATTGTCCTTTCCGGGGAGTAACGCGTTCACCACCACACCATGCGGGTCCTTCGCCTCGCCTATTTCTCAGTTAGTTCTCATTTTCATTTTCTCTAGTTTTCATTCTCGAAAGGAACGACCCGCATGTTGTGGTGGTGAACGCGTTACTCCCCGGAAAGGACAATAGGAGTTCGTTCCCCACTGCAGACACCTGCGGTCCGGAGTTTTGCAAATATCTCAGCATTGCAATAGTTATATTTCGCAAAATACCCTGCCGTTAAAAAGAATAGGCAGTAAATAAAAAGGTTAAGATTGTGATTATAACTATAGCCTCAGCTTAACTGGGTTCAATGCCGATTTGGGCTCCCCAGATCAATCCCGTTGGCGAGTGATTGCTGATGGCAAAAGAGTGATAGAACCAACTGAGAGATAGGCGAAACGAAGGACCCGCATGGTGTGGTGGTGAACGCGTTACTCCCCGGAAAGGACAATAGGGCGTTCGTTCCCCACTGCAGACACCTGCGGTCCTGAGTTTTGCAAATATCTCAGCACTACAAAACTCAGAGTCTCAGATGGGTTTCGAACCCGTCATTATTAGCCTTATGTTCTATCCATAAAAAGCCCACGAAGAGCCTTGCTTTGGTTTTCTCTCATTCAGTTTTAACGGGTGTTTGCTGATAGAACAGCTATATTAAAAAGCTGTCCGAGAGAAAAGCAAAGCAACAGTCTGGCTTGGCGCCGTTGATAACACTTCACCCTTCGGAAATGGTAACTGCGGATTTGAAGCCCAACTGAGCTCCCGCGTTTTGCTGTTAACTCGGCATCCTTGTGGTTGTAATGGTTGTAAAACAATCAACTGAACGTTCATGAAAAGATCCCGACACCAATGGAAAAAATTGAATTTTCCGCACTCGCTAAGAGCAAAACATCTGGGACTATTAAAGGTATTGAAGAATTCATTCAACTAAAGTCTATCGAAAATAGAGCTCACTCGTCGACCTCTTTTCAACGAATAATCGAAGTGAAAAGATCGCTAGGAAACAAAATCACGAATGCGAATAAGAATTCGCAACCAGGACGAGGGTAGATTGACCAAGTGATTACCGTGAAAATAAATTATGAAAGAAAAGGAACACCCACGAAAATTGCACTCCAGGAGGTATTGAACCATTCGAAGGTCACACTCACAGCTGATGACGATATATGGCGCGTCTGTCTCAATACAGCGCGCTGAATGAAAATAAATTTTCAACCAGAAACTAATGAATCTCAACAAAAAAACAACTCTAAAGCGGTAAACAGTAACCTATGTCGGCAGGTGCTGGCCGATTTTCATGAACAATACCGCCAGCAATACGGATTAGCTTCGTCAATACTGCTCGACTAGGCTCAACCGATGGTGTAATATAGAATTGAACATCCTTAAATGCACGTCTATAACTCAACTAACCGAATGAATTATTTATAAGACAAAATGAATGTAGGCGCCAAAAGTTTTTGGCTTTTGCGTCGTCAAAGGATAAATTGAACCTAGCACACTTTTGGCTTTCACAACGTCAACGACAATGTGAGCATTTATCGCATCCAAAACATGCGCATGCATCCTGCAAGACCACGACGTTTTGGTAAAACCTACCTCAAACACTTTCCGATGTCGCGCTCTTATTACACTACGCTTGCAGTTATAACCTAAATGTCGCTCTTGATCTTCATCGTGTAGAAAGTAGTCAAGAGTATCTGAAAAATTACAATTTAAAAGATCAAAAACTAACTGAAGTATTACGTTTCAATGGAAACAGATTGTAAATACTCTCTATCTGATTACACCTTTAAAACACAAGCAAGCAGCTCAAACTCTAACTAATAGAGTAACAACGAAGTGGTGAGCAGTGGCGCAGGTGAAAACACTACAGACATATAAAAGAGACACTGCTCTATCTCCTTAAGTGAAAATATAGTTTTCATAAAAATATTCTTCTAATTCTAAACTTTTTTTAGAAATGATGCTTTCAGAAAATTGAAAACGAAATTTGACTTTTTAAGTTTCTAACGCAAACACAGCTGCCGCAAAAACCAATGACAAATTGAGTAAAACCGTGGTGTCCTGTTAGACGAAACCCCACTTGTTCAACTGCTGTTGAGCTCGAAATAAAAGACTGCAAAAAAATAAAATGAAAACAAAAACTAATGAAAATTAGAACCCATAAGCGGTAGAACAATAAAACTTAAATTTTGTGGGCAGAGGTCCTAGCGATTTTCTACATGATTGAGCTAATATGATCATGGTATAAACTTAATCCTGCAAAATAAAAAAAAATGAATAATAAATAAAACCAGAAAAGATCCGAATAGTTTTTATTGTAATTAGTTACGTTTGAAGACCAATACCAGCTGTATACTCTGCCGTACTACTACACGCGTGTAACTTGAGCGTGCGCCAGTAAATCTTCCAACTAACGCTGTCGCGTGAAAGAGTAGTCCAGTGAGTTATGTTCGCTCTAGGGACTCGCTAAGCATTATATCTTTTCTCCTAGAGTTTTCGTGAAGCACGTGACAATTGGATCGATGGTCCTTTCGATTCGCTTTTGATTTCCCGACGAATAGCGAGGTATCTTTTGCAGTTTATAGTGGTTTTAGGACTTCGTTTTCTGAATTTAGCAGTTTTCTCTCCTTTCCGCGATAAATGAAATCTTGCACGAATGAGGCGGTGGTCTGATCCCGTGCACAATTTTGGGACAACAGCGACATCGGTTAGGTAAAACCTTCGATTTACTATGATGTGAGTCACGTTATGGTACTCTCCATTAGGAGACTCCCACGCACAGCGTTGAGGGTTGGGCTTCTGGAATTGCGATTTACCATGAATGGTTTTAGTTGGTGCGTAAACGACGAAGCCTGTCAAAGCCAATGTTGATCCACACCTCTTCAATTGTAAACGTCCGATTCGGGTTGTTTGTTGTTCGAGTGAATCGGTTTTTATGACCAAACTCGTGTTGACGAGAACAAACACCGAAGCCACCGACTCCCTCTATTATCGAAGGTTCCCAGGAACCGCTCTTCTTCGGTGTTAAAAATGGCGTTAAATGGGTGGAGTCTTCTTGTCCCAGCCAGTCCGATCACTGTACCTTGTTACCTTATCCTCTTTACCTGCATGATCAAGTCTTCTATCGGGGACTTAAATGCAAGTTGTCTGAATTCCAGGTAGTGATAGTCACGTTGGTCCTTCGAGATTTAGGCATCCTAGAATAGCCCTGTGATTTTAGAAGTATATTCGAAATCGTCCGGGTGTGTATGGCGCAGTGGTGGGAGGCGCCCTACAACATACACGAGGAATCGATCCCCGCGCCCATGGCCCACCAAGTCTTCCATACCTCCAGGGTCGGCAAATTGGTACCAAAGTTGTCTGGCAGGATAACAGCACTGGCTCGATACATCGATAGGTCACCGCGAGTCATTGTAAAGGCCAGATATGCATTCAATCGCCTCTAAACGAGCTTAGTGAAGTCGAATGCATGGCACATCCCTCAAGGATTGATCAACGCCGAGGGTTTTATCCTTTATTTTTATTTTATTTGTAATCGTCTTATCCAACGCTGTTGGATTGGGGGCTCTTTCGGAGTCAGTGGAATGAGGCCCATTTATTCTACTGTGTTTGACTTTCGATTTTCCTACGCCTTAGCATGTCAAAATCTCAACGTAGTAGCCGGATCTATTCACGGGTAGATTGCCAAGTTCTCCCAGGGTCAATGGATTGCAGGCTTTTTGCCGAAGTGACTTGTAGAATACAGTTTGCATAAACTAGAACACATCCATTCACCATGCATCATGTCCGGAATCATATGGTACGTTTTGTTTTGTTTAGTTTAAAAAACAAAGAAAGTATGTGCCAAATCGGAGCAGCAGAAACATGGAGTCTGGGCTGCATCCTCTGGATCCACCTACAACCACAAGGTGACTTTTGGTCGACGCTTAACACTCTTTTCGACAGCTAAGGATGCGCCACGCAGCTTTGCTAGCAACAGATTAATCGGTGAAGGTTACTCGAAGATCAGTAAAAGATGAGATATGTTGACCTAAATTTTGAATAGGCCATTATTCTCGTACCATATTATTCCGTATAAAGCTGCTTCATTGGACATCAATTAATTTTGCTTAGTTTAAAAAATAAACTGATCTATCTTAATAGACCTATAACAAAATTTTCAGCAACTTGTGTTGAAGGGAAATATTTCTCAATAGCTAGAGTTACTTGTAGCCCAACATCCACTACACAAAAAATGATGGAAAGATCACATTAGCAAAGTTCTAAGAAGCATAGAGACAAAGTTGAATAGTCATTGGAGGAAATCATTTTTTCCTCTGCTCTAAAGAACATAACCTGACAACCTCAACATGACTTGCATACCAAATGATGGAAAATAACGTACCCATCCATTGCTGACATTCATAGCCGTGTACTACCCAGTACGGGTTTACAATATTCTTCCCTAAACATATTGCCTCCAAAAGACGTTCCGTTCGCCGGCCGTTAGGTGTTACCAAATGAGTGCATTCCGAGACTTGCTCGCAGGTGCTTCCGCCCAAGAAGCGGATTTTCTGAAAAGGTCACTGAGCTAAATGCAGTTATAACCGTTATTCTTATGCAAATTTAAAACTCGCAAGCCAAGAAAAACATGATAGATTTGTGAAATGTAACACTGTACGGAAGTGCACCTGAGTTAAAATGTGCTTGTTTTCGTTGTCGATTCCGTTGAAAGCAACCACGTATGCGGGATGACTAGCAGAGGACTTTTTACGCTCCTCAGCGCTGGCGGCAATCTCCGCCTCGGTCGGTGGTGATGACTGCATTCTGAAACGCCAACACCTGGTGATATCAAATGCAAGTAACCACATGGAGAGTCGTGGTAAGGAAAGTTGACAATGAACCACGTTTACATGTCAAACAGTTCCACACTGAACGCCATTCTAGAAAAACCTCACGAGCAGTAAATTCCATAACAGTAAAGATTTTAAAGGAAGTCATTTTTATTCTAAAATATGAGAGTCCCATATTGGAATAAAACGTGTTACACTGAGAAATTCAATCTATCAAATTACCTTTGTGTAAACTACTAATGAGCTGACCCTTTCTTGCAATTAATAAGTCGCAGTACATTTTAAAAAGTAGACATTTAAAACTTGCACTAAGGCAAAGTAACGTTAATGATTAGGTATAAACGTTTATAATTAATTGAAGTTGGAGTTCTAGCTATTCGATTCCACAGTTTCATTTGTTTTGGCCTGATTTTCTTTTGCAGGACCTTCGCTGTCCACGTCGCCTATGAGCCAACTGTGGACAATAGTCGCCTGCTCATTGTCTACGGGCAAGTTAACGGCGTCCATTGTAGACTGACCTAGGGTACCAGTTTGACACATGACAGTTAGGATGACGAACAGGACCGTAGTCATGAGAAGAAGAGAAAAAGCCCTCATAATGCAGACAGCGACCGGATGGTATGCCTTCTACGGTGTCTGTGTAGGTGCCTCACAATTTCATTTGTTTCGGTCTTATTTCCTTCTGCAGGACTTTCTTTTGCAGTTTTATATTAATGTCAAATCCGAATAACCTGCCTACTTATTTTTGTAGGTAACTCGTCTATTTTTAACTTGTACTTTTACGTCATTATTGGTTACTTCAGCGCATTTATATTAATGAAGCTCTGGAAACATGACAAATAAAATAATGTCCAGCAAAATTATTGAACAGAATATGGCTTTATATCTAACTTTACTCCTTTTTTCTTTTAAATCTTTCTGGCAATTTGCGTGGAAAAACATCACAATAAAAATAACTAACCGCAGTTTCTTATTCGGAAACACTCCTTCGTCATTCTCCACAGCCTGTTTCGTATCAAATGAACGCCGCCACTGCTCTGGCGATACAATTACTGGCATTTTCCATGCCACTGAAACAAATCAACATACAGATACAAAATATATATGCTAGGAAGAAAACCTACAAAGAAGTTGCTTGAACTGATCATTTATCATTTCCAGTGCGTATGGACCAGGCGAGACACCTTCACACGGCTGACCAACCTGTAACGGAAAAGAAATCAAAACAACTGTTTAAACACGGAACAAAAACATAACACTAAGAAGTGACCTGATATCTTTGGCTGTCAACGTCTACTCTTTGACCTGCATAATTATCAGCTAACCACTGATAGTTTACCACTTGAATATCCCATTCACGAGCCTTCTCAACCTTTTCCACTCCAGCCCTAAAAAATAACTATGTATTTATTGGAGTCTGACTGAAAACTAATGTATTATGGATACGGGTAGATAAGGATATGCTTAAAGATGCAAGGATATATTGAGATCACGTGCTTTTCTTCGACCTTCCGGATGATCTATCTTCTGTGAACATTTAATCATATCCAATAAATACATATAGAGATGTGGGCTTGCCTAAACGTAAACGAATCGTGCTTTCCGGTGTTAGTTCAGACAAAACCTTTCACGAATTCAATACGAAGCAATGTGTCACTCAGTCACTGGAAGTACTAACAGTAAAGCCTCCATTCAACCTCTTCATTTCTGCGAAAGCTTAACGGACACAAAACGTGTCATCCTATTAATATAAGCAACATAGTTATTGCTTTACGCGACAGGTCTTCCAGTTCCACACTACTAGGCATGTACTGACCGAATGAGATGAAGAACACGATCCACAGACGCAGGCGCTCAATGCTAACAAAAACTCAATGTGCATAGAAAAGAAATAAGATAACAAAGCGTTGCAGAGAACGGATTATTCCCATAAACAGTGTATTTCAGGAGAACAGGAAGGTCGCTGTTCGTTAAAGTTTAGCCCTGTATTTGTCACTTCATTCAGTTGATAGTCAAAAAATGGATGTGGTAAAATGGCCGAAACCACACAGGCGAACAATGGAATGAATATTACATCAGATACCATCGAGTTTAAAACTCGCAACTGATGAATTTTTGCGGACATACAAATCGAAGCTGATTCACAGCCTCTGTGCGCAAGCACTGAGTCGTTACATGTCTTTCCACAATTACTTGTGACTGAGGTAAGTAGGTACTTCGCAGGTAAGTAGGTACACCTAATTACAAGAAATGAACAAATATGGAGAAAAAAAACAACCACGAGAACTGAAAAAGTCACAGACCGTAATTATCGTTTATCGCCCGGTCGCGTCCGTATGAGAGTTCGGCAGCGCTGGACGGCATCCCCACCCTCAGCGCTGGACGTGGGAGTCTCCAAGTGGAGAGTACCATAACGAAATAGACCACATCATAGTAAATAGGAGGTTTTGCCTAACCGATGTCGCTGTTGTCCCAAATTTACACGGGATCAGGCCATCGTCTCCTTCATGCAAGATTCTATTCCTCGCGGAAAAGAGAAAAAACCGCTAAATTCCAAAACCGAAATCCTAGGACCACCACAAACTGGGAATTATTCAATTCATTAGACGGCTGTTGGGAAGGGAACATTGACGAAGAATACAATCGGCTCATTCAACATCTTCGAGTTAGCGCTATGAAAGCTGAGAGTTCGAAAGTCACCAAGAGACAGTCCCCAGGATCGATTTTCTATTAACCTTGGCATTGGGATATGAATGGGTCGCTTTTTTTGTTCAGCAATCGCGAGGTTGTCAACCATATGCGACTATAATCAGCTGTTCTAATCTTTCTCATTGGAAACCACGTAAAAAAGCGGGTGAATTTTTCGAGAAGCTGTTGATCATGTAATTACCACAGAGTTTTTCGTCTTTTTATAAGTGTTATTGAAGCGTTTGGCCTAGTAGATTGTATATCAGTACACCCTTCCAGACTCTGAACATGGCGATACTGCCGAAACGTCAGCTACTGTTCTATTGTAATGTTTCTCTATGGAAGTAAATGTATGTTGTTTAACAACCTCGCAATTGCTGAACAAAAAAACGACGCATTCAGCAAGAGACGTTTGTCTCCAGAAACACCCGAGCTGATACCACCGTGGAATCGCACGAGTTGCAGCAACCGCGAACTAACGTCCGAACTTGCACAGCAGTGCAGAGAGGCGATAAAAGAAGGTCTTAAAGAGAGAGCAGCAGTAATGGTCGAAGCTACAGAGGCTGAAAAAAGCATTCACAAAGCCCACCGAAGCTTCGCCGATTACGAGACCAAAATGATTGCACTCTGGCGCCCAGACGGAACAGTTACAGCGTCCAGAAAGCCAATGGAGAAAATCATTCACGAATGCTACTCGGATCTCTTCGATAGCCACGTACACCTTCTATGAAATAAAGGAGGATAGATATGTTGTACCACCGGTTCTCCATACCGAAATCCGGCATACCTGGCATACCTTTCGTTGGTATGCCAACATCGAACAGCACCAGGTCCGGATAAGATACGACCAGAACACCTGAAGAACCTTACGCCAGTCTTCGTAAACACACTGGCTCGGGTCTTCACACGTTACCTGTCTGAATGCAAGGTCCCAACTCAGTGGAAGACCAGCAAGACCGTGTTATTGTTCAAGAAGGATGGCCTACACGATATCGGCAACTATCGCCCAATCTGCTTGCTGTCTGTCGTCTACAAACTTCTCGCTCGAGTCATCCTTGACAGAACACTAGACGAAGAAGAGGCATGTGAGCAAGCAGGGTTTCTAAAAGGATTTAGTAGGATGGACCACATTCACGCGGTAACAAGAATCGTTGAATTTCGCGAGAGTACAAAAGACCGCTCTTTCATCGATTTACGTAAGGCCTTTCATTCACTTGAGATAGAAGCAGTCCTGGAAGCCCTTGTTGGTCAAGGAGTCCCTACTCAGTACATAAAGATTCTTCGTGAGCTGTACAAAAATTTCACAACCAAGGTATCACCATTCTACAACGATATTAACATTGACGTCAAAAGAGAAGTTAGGCAAGGCGATACCATCTCCCCAAAATTATTTACCACCACCCACCAGAACGTCATGCGAACAATGGAATGGGATAATATGGAAGTGAAAATCGATGATCGGCAGTTACATCATCTTGGCTTTGATGATGACATCGTCCTTATAACACCAAACATTAGCCAAGCGGAACGTATGCATGACGACTTTGGTAAAGCCTGTGGAAAGATTGGTCTTCGGCTAAATCTCACAAAACGATGTTCATGAAGAGCGGATTGGTTTCGCAAGCCCTATTCACGCTCAACGGAACGAATATCTCCGAATGCTCCAGTTATATCTATTTAGGTCGGAAATCTAAACGACCTAGCTCCAGAGCCGAGCGGAAGGAAACGAGCGGCTCGGAGAACTTTCACGAGCATCAAGAACGTAGTGACGAGAACAAAGAACACCTGACTCCGTGCCCACCTCATCGACTGAGCGGTACTTCCCGCCCTAACGTATGCGTCAGAAACCTGGTCGCTGCGTGAGCAGAATGAAAGGCCACTCAGCGTTATCGAATAACAGTCGAAAGGACGATGCTGGGAGCATCCCGTTTCACACAAGTAAGGGATGAGACCCGAAGCTCCGACCTGGGATCAAGAATCAAAGATGTCGTTCTGCATGCCAAAGATCGAGTCGAAGATAATATGGGCCGAACACGTAGTGTGTGTGAATGACAACCGATGGACAAGAGCCCTTAGCGACTGGATTCCTCGGGATGTCAAACGCACTGCAGGAAGACCACCGATCCGATGGTCAGAGTTCTTCATGAACAGCCTAGAAGAAAGATATGATGCTCGACGAGCTCCTAGAGCGAGCACAACCCACTGGGCTACTCTTGCACGCGACAGGGAAGAATGGAAGATTTACTGGCGCCGCTCGAGTCACTCGACGACCAACGCGACTACATGTGATACAGGTGATATACATAAGTACATATATACACCTCCAAATATATATACCTAAATGTATTTATTTACATGTATGTGTACTTGCATACATGTAAAATTATTTACAGTTTTTACATGACCCGCCGTCACCGCATCTGTGCCGATCCTAGTAGTTCCTGTATTCGATTCGTTTTCCTCGCCTTTATCGTTCACAATGGTCTTTGAACATTTCGCGTGCTGTTTTAACTGCTATTTGAGTATTTCGTCTTGTTTATGAACCACACGAAGTGCTGGTCGTGTCCATTCTCCTTGTCTTTCCAAACGCTCTTCTCTAATCCACACCGAAACACTTCGCCTATCATAATGATGCTGAGATATTTGAAGAACTCCGGACCTCAGCAAGTATCTGTGGTGGGAACGAGTGCACTATTCTATTACCCTTTCCAGAAGCTAACGCTCTCACCACCACACCATGCGAGTCTTTCGTTTCGTCGGTCGCTCAGCTACTTTCCTATCCATGTGCCATCAGCAATCCACCCGTACTGATAGTCACTGGGATCACTACATTTCAGCATCATTATGGTAGTATTTCACATAATACCATGCCGTGAAAAGGTGTAGTAGGCAGCAAATAGGAAGTTGATATTGTGATTTGAACTTCTATCTCGAATATTACAACGATAATCGACTCAACCAACACTGTACGACAGCCATAAAGTAGACGAAATCCTCAAGCAGCAGTCGAAACGCGAAATGTTCGAAGACCTCTGTGGACGATGAATGCAAGGAAAACGAGCCGAATCCAAGAAGTAATCAGATCGGCACAGTAACTGTGATTACGGGTCATGCAAAACGTTAAAAAATGTGCATATATCACATAAATGGAGGTCATTGTGCTTAAACAAAACAAACGTTTTTGAATTTTCGAGTCATATAAGTCATGCAAATTTCGGGACAACACACGTCTTGGCGATAAGTAGACTGTTGTGTCGACTAAGGTACGGTGTGAACCGCGCTCCCATCGCCTCGACCATGAACTTCATTGCAGCGCGCTCGCTCTCATCGAAGCCGGAGAAAGAAATCAGCTGAATATTGAAACTCACAAATTATTTAGTCTCACATGAATAATAAACAGGTAAAGATTCACAAAGTTTTGTTTTTTTTAATGTCCTCTGCTTATCATTTAAAAAACATACATTCAGTAGCTCTTATTAAATCGTTTCAATAAACATGACGTAAATTCTTCGTACTTTGTTGAGCAAACGCGAGGTGTTATTATTCTTTATTCACGAATAAGCTGACGTTTCGGCGAATTTCGCCTTCTTCAGAGCCTGGAAAGGTCAAGTTGATAGCAATCTATTCGGCCAGACACCTCCGCAACCAAACAAAGAAACTCTAAACCAAGATTTCAATCACTTTGAACACAGCTTTGCACACTCACCTCTTTCTATGAGGTTTCCACTAAGTATGTCGCGTGAAGACCAACCGCACAGAAATCACATGGAAGCATAATGTGCCCCTCCCATCAGAATAACAGTCTTATATACTGCCTTATACGGTTCATTTTCGGATTTCTGGAATTAATCCAGAATGCCTCGAGAGTTTTGCGCGCTTGTGTTCTTGATTCGCGTGCGAGGATCGCGGCACATACTTCAAAGTCCTCTCCGTTATGTCTCTGGGTCCTATGCGTGCCTAGCGGGGTATTTGGTCTATGTTTGCCGGCTAGGTGTTCTCCTACGCGGACACAGAGGGGTCTGCCCGTTTCGCCAATGTATTCGTCTCCGCACATCTTACAGGAGATCAGATAAACTATACCCGAGCTCATGCAATCACCGTCTCTACCACTTGGGCAAATTATGCAACTTTGAGTTGCACATAGACTGTCATATAGGCGGTTACGAACTAGCTGGCGCTTAAGATTACTAGGTGGTGTTTCAACTACGTTTATCGAATTCTCTAAACCCGCCCTTCTTAAGCAGCGGTTTATAGCTGTACTTACATCATTTGAGATGAACGGTAGGATAAACGAAACCCTTCCATCGCTAGAGTTGTCGTTTGGGGCCTAGGATTTCCCCTACACCTATCCTGAGCTAGTTTCGTAGCCATTAGAAATGGCTATTTGCCGCGCCAAGTTCCGGGACTCCTCTCTCTTCTCTCTTCCCGCGCACACGTTGGTTGCTGTTCGAAACATGTTTCTCATAAGCGCCCTTTTCGTGTGAGAGGGGTGAGAGGAGAGGTAATGAACCAAGATGTTTTTACTACTTGGCTTTCGGTACCACTTTGTAATGTAGCCATCTTCTGATAGGTGAATTTGGACGCTCAGGAATGGAAGCCATTTCTCTTTCGGCTTTTCTCGGATGAACTTGATATATTCTGAGCGTGCATTTAACAACTCGAAATATTTGTCCATTTCCTCTTGTGTTGAGCAAAGGACAAAGCAGTCGTCTACATACCTACAGTAGAGTAGCGGCCCGAGATCAGTCACCGGTGCTTCCACCTTAGACAAAAATGCAATGGCAAGGCTCGGAGCTAGTCGTTGTCCCATTGCCAACCCTCTTATTTGAGCGTAGTACTTTCCGCACCATCTGAAGACTGAGCAGCTCAAGCATTCTTTTAAGAGTGTCATCAAGTGCTCTATCTTGAAGCCATACATGTTTATTTCACCTTCGTGTTGAGTTTCTTTGTTAGGTTATGGAGGTGTCTGGCCGAATAGATTGCTATCAACTTGACCTTTCCAGGCTCTGAGGAAGGCGAAATCCGCCGAAACGTTAGCTTATTCGTGAATAAAGAATAATAACACCTCGCGTTTGCTCAACAAAAATACGAAGAATTACTTGATCAATGCCGAGGTTAATAGAAAGTCGGTCGTGGGAGATAATGACGTAAAGTCACAAAACCAACAGCACTCAGTCTCGGAATTAATAAAGAGCACTAATGGTAGTCAGAGGAGCAGAAAGTAAACGAACTTTGCCGAGTAACGGACGGCAGCCGTCAATAAAGACCGAGGGCAGATGAGCATGCCGCCATGGTACGTCCATTTGTTTCTTCATAAGTACATCTATCAACCACTGTAGCGTGACCAGTCGCTTACGATCCTTCAGCGCCTATACATATTTTAGCTTAGAACGACTGCCATTCTAAACATACCCAAATAATATGGTACAAAACGCACACCGAATCCTTAAATAAAAAACATAGTAAATAACTTTTTAAATGTTAAAAATCGAGTTGTTATAAGGATTAAAGTAAAAAAAACCTACTAAGTGTGCATGTTGCGTTCTGATTGACTCGACGATGACGTGAGTGATTGCTCCAGCTCTTTCAGCATATGCTTTTGCACCAAATTCAATATCGCCGCCATGCATTCGAATTGCCAGCACAACGTTCGGCAGATCCAACTTGTCCGTGAATATCCGATCCATGTCGAACATATGGAGTACACAACCAGCCAAACAGATATCCGGATGCACTGAAAACAAGCTAAATGATGGTAAACTATTGTGCTGAAGACATTGGAACAATACAGCTTTTTGGCACCATCTAATTGTTTCAGAAGTCAAGAAGTGAAACCATCTTTTGATTAATTTAGAGTTACAGGTCTACTAAAAAGCTCCTTTCCTTGAATAAAATGAATTAAATCATCTGATACTTTCAATGAGTTCCACTTCCCCAGCAATTATCTAGCAAGAGAGGCAAATTCTTGAAAACGTTGTATTGCCGCAATTTTCTTCTATAAAACCTTCATTAATAAGAAAAAGGTTCGTAAACATAGAGTAGTTCACCTCAGTATTTTCATAAATTATTTTTTTTTAATTATTATTAATTATTAACCAACTTTCATCGTTAGATCAATGGAGAGAACTAGCATCGAAGTATCTAACTATGCTGCTGATGTAAACAACATACCATTAGGTTTTGCTAAATACCACAGTCTTTGTGAAGTGTAAAAAAATGTTTATGATAATAACCAACAAAATAAAACTGCTTATGCACCTACCACTCATAAGCAAACTTGGCTCGTAAGTGAAGAACTGGCTAGGAATCACAGGTTGTTGAGGTGTGGGAACCATTCGAATTGGTTGTGTGACAATGTCCCCTAAAAAGCGTAAGTCGCTGCACTTCTGACAAAAGGAAAAACTCTGAATGAAAGAAATGTTGCTCCGTCTCAACTGAAATACATGAACAACGGTTTCACTGTTGTTCTATTGGTAAAAAGATTACTTCTAAGCTAGAGTTGATTCTTCTAAGCTAGCTAGAAACTTGAAACAATTTTCCAGATTCATTTAACCTCACACTCGCTCCAACAACTTCTCCATTTCAGTGCATTCACTTGTTTCCTCCTAATACATGAGAAATTGCTTTGAATGGAGCTGTCAAGAGAAAACTGACCGTTACTCATGGGACGCGGCATGCTGGTCTGCGGCGGAAGAGGCGCTTGTGTCGGGGACATCAACGGTGGCGACCTCATGTCCGTTGCGTAATGCGGTGATGCCGTCGGCTGTGAAAACCGCGATCCTGCATCGAACGATTCGCTCAGAATAGCACCGAACTTTCTTCTAATTACATTAATAATTTTGGTTTTGACTTCCATTCTAACTGGTTTCCGACCGTTAAGTGTCTCCACTTTATGATTTCCGTTCTTAAAGCCAAACACACTCACTATGTATAACAAATAGAATTTCCATATTATATATATATGCATGTATATACATACACATGCATACCTGCATACATACATATATACGCATGTACATTATAAATTATAAATACAATGGATAAAAAGTAGAATATATTGAAACAAAAACGGTTGAGTAAACCAGTTTTCTTTGACTTACTGCAATGATTAAACTTAATTAATATGCACAATGAGTAAGTTCTACCTAATAAGTCAGCTAAATTGAGTGATGTTCATGGAATACAATTAATTTGTATTCTTGCTGAGCAAAGGCGAAGTGTTATTTTATTTTTTATTGAAGAATAAGCTGACGTTTCGGCGGATTTCGCCTTCCTCGGAACCCAGAAAGATCAAGCTGTCCGCAATCTACCCAGCGAACCAAGATTTCAATCAGATTGAACACAGTTGGTTGAACAGTTGAACAAACATTGGTTCAGCATTTTCTCTATTTGGTTATCGAAGTGTTTCGCTTGGTAGACTGCTGACAGCTTGATCTTTTGGGCTCCGAGGAAGGCGAAATCCGCCGAAACCTCGGCTTGTTCTTGAATAAAGAATAAAATAACACCTCACGTTTGCTCATCAAGAATGCAAAGAATTATTCAACCAATGCCGAAGTTAGTAAAAGTCGGTCGTGGAAATAAAATCACCCCTATTTGCTTCACGACCTACTTTCTAGAACCTTGAAAGTTTTAAAATTAAAAAAAAACTTTTAAAAATTTCGTAGAAAACAACTACGCAAAGTATCCCTTTTAAAAATACCCTCTCTACGGCACTACACCAACGATCGTCCACATTTCAATCCAACAGTTGCCTTCAAATGAAAGATAAACTGCCACACGTGCACTGGAAACTGGCGCAACACTAAGACAAACTGTGTAGCCCATTTTAGAATGTTTGAATTGTAAGGATGTGAGGATATCAATCTCGTTCTTGCGTTATACCAAAGTAGGCAATTTTTCTGCTTGAGAAAACATGAGTATTAAGGTCCCGCGAACGCGCACTTAACTATTTTCACTGCACCAATATTTGCCCTTCCCAAACATGAAAGGAAATCCCTTCGACCTGTGGTAGATCACCAAACAGTTTTACCTGTCCAAGAAGAAAATCAAAGATGAAGCAGCACAGCCAACATATGTTGCTGGTAGGATAGAAAGGGGAACCGTTGATTCAAATCTATTCATAATGCATAGATTTTCTTCAGAAGCAGTTCGAACAGAAGAAAAGAAAGCGTCTGTGACGGGTGGTGGTAATCAAAAATTTATAACGAGGCGGTGTTAAACCTAGTCAAATCAAAAAATATGGGATAGGAAAACACTTTAAAGGATCTCTACCACAGCTCAAGCTTGCACGCCAGAAATTGTAAAGCCTAGCGAAGATGAAGTAAAAGGAAGTAGAGTAAAGAAGTAAGTTGTTCACTACTATGTATTAGCTGTCACTCGTATTCATTTCAATAATGAAGTGATGCCATTTGGATACGCTCCCTCAACGAAAGGGTACGAAGGACACCACTTATTGTTAAAATGTCTATTACTTAGCGCCTTTGACGAGCGCTTTTGATGGGCGAAACGAAGGACCCGCATGGTGTGGTGGTGAACGCGTTACTCCCCGGAAAGGACAACAGCGCGTTCGTGCCCCACCACAGACACCTGCCGTCCGGAGTTTTGCCAATATCTCAGCATTATCTTAGTTGTACAACTAAGATTGATAACGCAGGGGTAAATCACCGGTTTAAAATTTAAAAAATCCTTATACTGCGTATTCGACATAACCGCATTCTATGGAGATAGAAACCACTTCAAAATCTATTGTGGCAGCTAAAAAAACGCAAATAAAAAAATTGGACTTTTTAATGAAATTTAGTAGAGCTGAAGAGATTCGAAAAAATCATAAAGTAATAAACCGTTCGGCGTATACGGTGGTTGAGGAGTTTGAGGCGTGTGCGGTTGTGGAATGGCGCCCGCGGTGTACACTGAAAATTAAAGAATAATTTATGGACGAACATGAAAAAGTCAAATCACACTGAAAAATTCTCTATTACTTAAACATTTTCATATCCATTGCTTTATCTCCTTCTTAAAGGCCCTAAAAGTTTCAACGTGATATCCAATGTTTTCTATAAAACCGCTGTGTATGAGGAAAACCGATGTACAGATTTGGTAAATTGGTAGTCACTAGAAGGAAGGTTTAATTTGTGAAGAAAGGTCAGCACTTCTGAGATCTTTAAAATAAAATGACAAAGAGCAGAGGTACAATAAAATACCAAACCAGGTACACTCCCAATCAGTTAGTCAATCGATCCACATATCAAGACTTTTGTTATGGCGCATGTATGGCTATGGGAATGACTTCATAAACTTTCACCCACATCGACTACGGTGTTCAGCATCGTACAGATCTCATTTATGATACCCACAGAATGAGATGCATTATTATGCCCTTATGTGACGATTACAACCCTTTAAAAGGTTTAATCAACAAAGTTTCACAAAAAAAAACGCCGAAATTGCTGGCACTAAACGCATTGACAGAAATGTCCGTTCACACATTTAGTGGGATTTAGCTAATAAAAAGTAAAGCACAGTCTGATACTAATATTTAACGTCCATATCTAAACAATTTTGTCCCAAGAAAATGGAATTGATTAAAATAGCCGGAGGAACGATAGAAAGGCATACAGTTTCTCCTACAATCTGCAAATTTCTTTGCACGATGAATCATACACTTTCATCTATATAGGTTAGACAACAATTCAAATCCGTGTTATTCAGCTACACGCTGAACAATCTTCTTTTAACTGAGAACGTTTAATACTGAAGTTAAAAAAAAGTTACTCAAAGAGTTTACGAGATAAGAGTGGTGCTCATTACATTTTGGCCGATCTCCTCAGTGCTCGTCGTATAAACCGCATTAACAACACCCACTACTTAGCAACTAGATTGCCATAGTAATGCACTTTTAGACGAAAGTAAGAACTTCGTCCGCCAACCCGACGGAACAAAGGTAATCCAACATAATAATCCCAGTACAGTACCCATATGGCAACAGAACCACCAAGGCCACAATCAGTGTGACAACGTTCTGGTTACAAAAGTTTAAGCAGACAGTTATATGTTATATTGGTTGATTTTGTTATATCATGATACAAACCGCTTCAAATAGAAGAGAAAATGATAACCTGTGACTGAAATATGTACGACTACGAATGCTACTTCCAATTTGGGATTTCGGGGTGTGGTTCGCATTTAGGAGAACTGCCAAAGCATTCAAACTCGAATGAAGCGAAATCTCGATTCCGAAAATAACGCTAGCTCATAATGAAGTTTTTTCTAACCTTTTTTTCTCGCGAAGCACATTTTCATATTCAATTTAGGAAAAAGAAACATTGCAACGCTGAGAACATTTACAACTTCCTTTCAAAACAATGTTTTGATCATTTAAGTCATGCTCTGAGAGTTCATATTGAATTAAGATTCAATACAAATTTCGGCAAAGAACTCTGCTGATTGGTATTTGTGGCATGGCTAATCTAATATATAGTTTTTGGAATGTTTTCCTAACATATAGTTAGTAGTCAAAGCAATTGATCGTGAACCATCCGAGAATGTTACCATGTGTGGTTTTTCGAAGAGTGCACGACGTTCTTCAGAAGCAGTACTGGAAACGAAGTAGGATTTGATTGTCACGGAACGTCAATAAGTCAATAATTTTCATCCCAGTAGATTGAAATTGTGGGTACGCTAACTGCTTTAGCATTAAACAAATAGGGGGATAGAGAAAAGGAAATAACATCCAGTGCAGTCAATGCGCAGTTCTCGTCAGAAACACCAACTACACCAACTCACGATGCCTTCACTCGTGTTAAGAACTCGTCACGACCTTGTGTGCAAAACGGAGTAAAATCAAGATGTGACAACAATGTGTGTGCATCTAGCCTTTTATGAATATATCTATACGCTTAAAATTGTTTTTTGTCTGAGTGCGTGTTTGTAGAAATGTATAGCTAGAGCACTCAATTGCTTCTGTTTTCCACTACTAAACTTTTACTTCTAGTTATTTTCTACTTCCTCACACTAATAAAACTGATACAAAAAATGAAGAGAGGAAAATGCATGCTAATTCTATAAGTAGCACCTGTACTAAGTGAACTCTACACCTTTCACAAAAATGGAACATTCATGTGTTATAAACTTTCAAACATCCACCAACAAACAGGTTAACTGTTGTAGTTGAGTGTTGTGCAGTGGCAAAAATTTTTCTGCAAAAGTAGTGGCCAAAATAGATTCAATCTGAAAAGAGTAGGAGTATTTCTAGTAGGACAACTTGAACAAATTTTAGAAATAGTTTCTATCCTAGTGGTAATTAAGATACTTGTGGTGTCAAAGAGTTACCAAACACTTGACGGTCTGAAAGTGGTGAATTAAACCTCAAGCAAGAAATTCAAGATGTCACTAGCTGATCTGACATTTTATCTTATCTAACATTGTTCTTAAATAATGCTACAGAATTAAAAGAATTAAGAATTAATTCTAGTGAGTTCAATTATCAAAAACTAAAAGCTACAACCATCAGTATGACAGTGTAATTTGAAAATAAAGGGGCAATGAAAACAGGTTATACCACAGCGACGATTTTTGGGTAAAGTAGTCAACGAAGGGACGCGATATTGCAAGAGCAGACGGCAGGCTTCCCTTCGCTATGATGCATAATTAAAAGCACCAGCACCAACAGCAGCACTGATGAGCGGAATCGGCTGCCGACATATCATCACCCAAAATTACGCGCCCAACGACGGCACCTCACATCATCAGTCGCTGGAACGCAGCAAACAGCTCTTTCCATCAAAGAAGCTACATGGAATGATCGTTATTCAACATCAAAATCAAGTTTACCAACGGCAAACATTTGTGGTTGCGTTA